TGATTATGTATACAAAATGCCCCTACTGTTAATGGTTTTTAAAATTGGTTTGTTTTACCCAGTGGTCACAAGACATTTTTAGACACCTAAAATATGTCTTAAGCCAATTGGGTAGATATTTAAATTCATGCCTAGTTTGTAGCATTACACAGTATGAATTTTATGTATGAATGGTGATTTCACCTACATGTTCAGCAATTTACATTTTAAAAAAACTTTTGAAAATTTAAATTGTTTTTTGGTATTATTTATGCAGTGTTGAGATATTAACTATTGCACAATGGCGAGTACCATGCCATAAACACAAAAAAATAATTTGTTTTATAATAAAAACAATTAAAAAATTGAATTATATATGTTACGTGAAAAATGTTATGTGAAAATCAGATTTAAATTGTTAAGGTCTGTAATTTAAAAAAAAAATTGTCTAAGGTTTGAAGTTCAAAAATTGAAGAAAATTACATTTAATTTTACAACAACCCTAACCCTAAGGAAACAACGTAACACAGGTTACATTTACGCCAGCCTAAAAGATGAAGAAGGGGTTCAAGGCTATTATATTTAATAGTCAACAGAATTATTTTGCCTACCCCTAAAGTTTTTGCCTCGGAGGTCTGGTCTTTTACAAGACATAAGCTGGGTGCAGTTAACATCTGCTCAAGATGAGTATTTTACTTGAGACACCATCTCTAGCCTTTACTTAACCAAGAGCCCCAAGGCAGTGGAATTTTAGCTGGATACAGTTAACATCTGTCCAAGATGAGTATTTTACTTGAGACACCATCTCTAGCCTTTACTTAACCAAGAGCCCCAAGGCAGTGGAATTTTAGCTGGATACAGTTAACATCTGTCCAAGATGTGTATTTTACTTGAGACACCATCTCTAGCCTTTACTTAACCAAGAGCCCCAAGGCAGTGGAATTTTAGCTGGATACAGTTAACATCTGTCCAAGATAAGTATTTTACTTGAGACACCATCTCTAGCCTTTACTTAACCAAGAGCCCCAAGGCAGTGGAATTTTAGCTGGATACAGTTAACATCTGTCCAAGATGAGTATTTTACTTGAGACACCATCTTTAGTCTTTACTCAACTAAGAGCTCCAAAGCAGGGGATTTTTCGCCAGAGTTCCAGAATTTATCTATTTTGCAAATCAGAACTCAATATTCTTATTTTGACACTGTCAATAGGAAAACTACTAACTTATGATACAGAAGATTTTTTTATGTAATTGCTTTAACAAAGAGTAATCTCATTAAAGAAAAAGTCTTCCTAAAAGTTACTACACAAAAATCTATAGTTTGAAATTTATAAAAAGCAAATACGTTTATATTAATCAGAAGTTCTAAAACTTGGTATCAGAATTTTAAAAACAACAAATAAAAGCTATTAATAATTAATAACATTTTTGTTTTCATAGGGTGAAAAAATCTTTGTAACTGTAGAAGTGTTAGAAAACTTAGAATATTATACTTGAAAGTATAATATTCTATAAATTCTAATAAATTTTAATTTATTCTGTTAATAACCAATTAAATTTTAATTTATATTTTAAATAGTAATAAGTAAGATTTAATAATATTCTGTAAATTTTAGTAAGTATTGTATTTTAACTTGATACATTTAAAAAGATTAACAAAATTAATTTTAAAGGATACTCACCATCTACTGTCTCAACTTCTAGTCCAGTTTGATGTTTGTCTATATCAATTTGGTTTTCATCATCAATATTAGGTTGATGTCCTTTTTTCAAATTTTCTAAATGAACCATTTCTGAGGCAGACGAACCTGTAAAAAAATATATATAAATTTAAAAAAAAAACTCAAAAAGTAATATAATAATAATAACTCAGATAACGCAGATGAACAAGTACAAAAAATACAACAGAATAACCCTAGAACCAATAAAGATAGAAAAAGAATTTATTTAAACTGAAACTGATATCTTTTACATTATATACATTTATACAGAGCCATGGCTAGGCTACCACATGCCCCCCCACCCCCAAATTAGGAAGGAGGGGTTACGAATTAAGGCAGCCCTTTTGCAAATTTAAGGATATATACATAAATATATATATATATATATATGTATATATATATATATATATATATATATATATATATATATATATATATATATATATATATATATATATATATATATATATATATATACATTTGTACATATACATATACTATAGCATATATGGAAGAAAAAAATATACATATAATTAAAAAACATGATTGCTGCCCAACCTAAACCCTTAGTTGATGTAACTAAGGGTTTAGGTTGTATGTACTGAAGCCTTCACAGCTACTTAATAAGTATGACATTATATTGTTTAGCTAAATACAGAATATTACAAATGTATATATATATATATATATATATATACATATATATATATATATATATATATATATATATATATATATATATATATATATATATATATATATATATATATATATATATATATATATATATATATATATATATATATATATATATATAGTTTTGCATAGTAGTCACAAAGTTTTTCCCATAAACTGTTGTTTTAAAAAGCGCTTAATAAGCCTGACCAAAAAATGTTAAAAAACTTCAAAAAAAATTTTTTTTTTTTTTTTAAACGATAGACTGCCCAAACCAAACCCACAGTCGATGTAGCAGCACTTCCTTGCGAGTCAGGCTATTTGTCAGTCAATGTAGCAGCACTCCCTTCTGAGTCAGGCTATTTGCCAGTAGCGAGTCAGGCTATTTGCCGATGTAGCAACACTCTCTACAAGGGAGTGTTGCTACATCGACTGCTTTGACATTTTGACAACAATTTAACTGCTTTGACATTTTGACAACAATAAAATGCAGCTTAAGAGACAAGGTAAAAAAACTGTAGTTGAAAGAGACTTTTTTTCACCATAAAAGTCTCTTTCAACTACACTATAAGGATATATATATATATATATATATATATATATATATATATATATATATATATATATATATATATATATTCTGTTGTATATAAAATACAACAAAATAACCCTAGAAACAATAAAGATAGAAAAAGAATTTATTTAAACTGGTACTTTTGAAACTGATCTCTTTTACATTATATACATTATATACAGTGAGTTTGAATGTCGAACAGACCACTTCTTTTTAATACAAAACAAAACAATACAATTACTCAAAGTATAAAATCTAAGATTAGCCTGTTAGAAGTCAAGTTTTAATTTTCAAAAGTATTTCAAATGTTTTAATGGATTTTCAAATGTTTGCCAGTTCGCATTATTATAATAAAAGTTTCACACTGCCAATAGCTCAGCTGCAGAAGTGCATTGTCTATATTTCATTTAGTCTCTGAAAGTAATGCAGACACACCAAGAAGTTTTGAACCACTATCTGCAGTTACATGAGCAATACAGGAAGAAAATTAAAGTTAAACTGCCAGAAACACCAGAGGTCAATGTTATTAACCATTTTATTGGCATAAAATGCTACCGGCGGTAAATTTTACTGGCGTAAATGATTTTTTTCAATGTTATAAAGCATTTTTTTAAATTACAGACAATAAATTTCTACAGCCGAAACGTTTACAGTCGATAAATGTTCCAGAGGAGCAACTTATGGAAATTTTTGTTGAAGATCCAAAGATATGAATATTTAGTTGTAGAAACCTGTGGTTCAGAACTTTTCAAAGTACTTACCTTGAGTTGAAAAATTATTACAAATTCATTCATTTTAATTAAGTGTACATTTCTTGATAAATTTTAATTTCAAGCGATTTAATTGTTAATGTTTTTCTACAAAATTTGTCATGTAAGAAATGTAACTCATTCTCGAAATTTAAAACTGCTCTCTTTAACTATTTTTTAGAAAAACATTGCTTATAAATTTTATACTTTTATTCAACTTATTATTTATAACCCTAATTGATGAGCTTCTATTTATCTTTTTTTTTTCTTTTTTTTTCCTTTTCTTTTGTGCTTTAATATTTTTTGTTAAATTTATTAAATTTAACAAAAAATATTAAAACAAGAGAAAAAAAATTAGATACATAGAAGCTCAGACTTAGGGTTATAAATAATAAGTTGAAGAAAAGTATAAGATTTATAAGCAGTTAGTTAAAAAAAAAATAATAATAAATTATTTTTAATTTTAATCTGAAGTACTTTCTCTTCATCACTATTATTGTTATTGTTATTATTATTCTACTTTTATCATAATAAATATTATTATTTTTACTATTGTTAATATTGTTATAATTTTTTTTTATATTACGGTTTTTATTATATTATTGTTGTTGTTATTATTATTATTATTATTGTTGATGTTATTTTTACTGTTATTATTGTTATTATTATTATTAATATAGTGTAGTGTATACTTTTTATAATCTTTACTATTACTTTTATTTGCTGTTATTACAACTACTATTTTTACTTACTCCTACTTGTATTATAATTATTATTAGCATCATTTTATTATTATTGAACTTTACAGGTGTTTACATATTAGTAGTAGTAATTATTATTAGCATCATTTTATTATTATTGAACTTTACAGGTGTTTACATATTAGTAGTAGTAATTATTATTAGCATCATTTTATTCTTATTGAACTTTACAGGTATTTACATATTAGTAGTAGTAGAAAAGTACTCATTATGATTTGTAAATGACCTTGATGTGACAACTTTATTCAGAATATATTTGATTTGATTTAAATTGATAATTGAAAGTTTTGAAATTTAGTAAAAAACAATGATGCAAGAGCAACTATATCATTATTATTGTTTTTAATTTGTGGCAACACTGTCAGTCCACCTTATTTGTCAAAAAGTTAGGGTATTACTCAATTAGTTGTCAATTGTTGAAAAGTGTGGTTGGAGTAAGTTTAAAACTTATTTCAATTATTTGTTTTTGGAACAATTTTTTGCAAGTTTTTTCAATTCTGGACTATTAAAACCTAAGTATTGGTCAAAAATTAAATTGATTAGTAATTTATTATTTTTGCTAATTTTAGTCCACAAATCCTGGCTTGTATCTCGGCAAGTCTTTAGACTTAACCCTAAGAAAATGTAAGGAAGAAAAAACCTTTATTCTACACATTCTCAGAGAGATAGCAGCAATTGGTAGAAAAAGGATCACTACTCCACGTTGCGACCATAAAATTGGGGAAAATTGTCTTTAAAACAGGAAGAAAAAAAGAAAGTTCAACTAGCTACAGTAATAAACAAAGGAATTATTGTCTCCATATGGGTGATCCGGAGAAGGTTGGCTGAAGATTATTTAATGGGTTGTCGTCCAACCAAAAAACCATGTTTAAATGAAGCCATGAAAAAAGGGACTGGAATGGGCTAGAACCCAAATTATGACTATTGAAGACTGGAATAGAGTAAATATAACTTATAATATTGTAAAAAACCAGAAAAATTATAACTTTATAATTTAAAATATCTTTGTAATGTTAGGTTCAATTAAGTAAACATTTCAAATTTTGATGGACAAAAGCTCATTTGTTTGACACCACCCATCAGAAAAATTCAACCAGGACTAAGTAAAATTCCACCTTTTGGAAAAGATTAAACATCTTGTGAGTGTTATGGTGTGGTATGTAACCTTAGCCATGGGTATGGGCTGCTACATTGTGGAAGGGACCATGAGGCAGAACCAGTACAAGCGAGTACTTGGTTAGGTAATTTAACTGATATGAACCCCATAGAAAATCTATGGGAGTTATTAAAACGGGAAATTGCCAATAAAATCATCCCTCCAAGCAACAGTTGGTAGAAACTCTTATAAGAGAACGGCATAACAGACCCAGTCTCCAACACAATGCAAAAAACTGCATAGAAAGCATGCCCCAACACCTGTAAGCTATTATTGTAGCAAAGGGTTGGCATTACAAAATATTAATTGTTATATTTTAATTTATTTTTTTTAATAAATAGCTATGAGTAAGTAATTATGTTGTTTTATATTCTTAATAGAGCCCTTTAACAATAAAAATAATAAAAAAATAACTACAAGATACGTATTTATTCATTAAAATAGTTTAAACTTTAAAACTACTAAAAAAGTTAAGTGTACCTAATAATTTGGCCAGCCACTGTATATATATATATATATATATATATATATATATATATATATATATATATATATATATATATATATATATATATATATATATATATATATATATATATATATATATATATATATATATATATATATATAAATAGGCCTCGGCGGGAATAAATGAGCAAGAGAGCGGAGAAAAGCTCTCCTAAAACGAACTTTAGCGCTCTTTTTCTAATTTTTTTGCAACAACCGTGCTTTTTAAAAAGCAATGCAGTATATTATGCAATTAATTATTTTTTAAATGACATTATGAGTCATAAGTTTTTATGAATAAAAGTAAATAAACAAATTTAACTTTTTAGATTAACTTAATAAATTTTCTTTTAGACATTGGAGCCTTAAAGAAAACCATCAGGAATTTAAAATTTTTGAAAATTTCCAGTTTGTTATTGAGCTAATTAGAAACGATATAGGAAGTTCTATTGGATGGAAAAATGCACTTATGCTTGATTTATCAGGCAAAAGCATTTATCAGGACAGACAAAAGAAATTTCTCCATTTAAAATTTATGTAGAGGTTATTTGAGATTCGAAATAGTAAAATTAGTGGTCAAACTATAAACAAAATTATTAAAGTTCTAGAAATTACTTTTGGTGCTTGAATATGGTATGAGCTCAAACATTTTTGATAAAGTCAGA